GTTCAGCATCTTAGCTGTGGAGGGCAGTGTCACTGGCCCTCATATGTGGGATCCGAACCGGGGCCCTCTGGCATCCCAAGCCAGTTCTTAACCATTGCGCCACTCGGCCGGCCCTCTTTTTTTTTAAGTTGCAGAAAAGGACAGTTTATTAGAAGAAAAAATACATTTCAAAGAAGCAGAAGCGGGCCCAAGCAGTGGAGAATGGCTCAGGGCCATTATTAGAAGAGAAAGTACACTCCAAAGAGTTTGGAGCAGGCTGAGCAAAGAAAGCTCAAAAGGCCTATATACACATTTTAAGACAGGAAAACTGTATTAAAATTGTAATACTCAATACATACCGATAACAGAAGATGAATACAAGTCATGTTTGACTTTTGCAGTTACAAGAGGTGCTCAAAGTAGTTACCATCAGCATCCAGACACTTCTGCTTATGGCGAACTACTGCTTGAGCAACGTTGACCAAATTGTCTACTTGTATACATTTTTTTGGCACCCTCAGTATATGCATATACACACACATATATACGAGTATGCACGGTATGATCAAACAATATTCTCAATGTTTAAATTTAAAAAATTATTGCAGTAAAAGACACATTGCCATTAATTCCCCTCAGAATACTCCCCCTTGCTTCAAACACACTTATCCCATTGTTCTTGCCACTTTCTGAAGCAGTTCTGGAAGTCCTCTTTCATGAGTGTCTTTAGTTGCGCTACCGTGGGGTGCCTCACTGTTGCGGCTGCCTCGATGTTCTGAATCATTTTGACTTTTGGGAAGAGCCAGAAGTCGCACGGTGCCAGCTCCAGTGAATAAGGTGGATGAGGACACACTAATGTTATTATTTAACAGAAATTGCCATGTCTCAGAAACGATGTGTGACATGGAGCATATTCATGATGGAGGATGGTTTACAGCACACTTTAAAACACACCTTCTCACAACCGTAGCTCACACCTGACTGACTGCACCGAACAATTTGAAACTTGTCACACACTGTTACTAAGGTTTGAGGTTCCGGCTTCCCATATTGAAGATCCCTGCCTTTCTATTGGATGGCCATCCAACAGATTCACTCTATTCTTTGATCATAACGGAAAGGCTCATCTGGTATGGCATCACTTCTGGTATATGGCAATTTCTGTCAAATAAAAATATTACGGTGTGTCCTCATCCACCTTATTCACTGGATCTGGCACCGTGCGACTTTTGGGTCTTCCCCAAAGTCAAAATGATTCAGGACATCAAGACAGCCACAACAGCCAACTAAAGACACTCATGAAAGAGGACTTGGAGAACTGCTTCAGAAAGTGGCAAGAATGATGGGATAAGTATGTTCAAAGCAAGGGGGAGTATTTTGAAAGGGATCAGTGACAATGTGTCTTTTACTATAAAAAATTTTTTTAAAACATTCACCGTATTGTTTGATCACACCTCGTATGCATGCCAATTTTCCTCACTTAGATGTTATTCTCTAGTTTTTAAGCTGATTGAGAAGTTAAAATACAAAACAAACAAACAAAATAAGCAAGTTCCCTTTAAGGAGGCTATAGGGAAATTGTTAGAAAATGTGAAATAATTGATAGAATATGTTTTAGTTTTGACACGTCTTTCTGTTAATATCAACTTCCTCCTCATTCATATCCCATTTACCACATTCTTTTGATACTACAACTGTACCACTCATACATACTTTTGTATACATTTTGTATACATTCTGAAGTGAAATTAGATGGGAAACTACTCGTGTTTTTCCTGCAAGTTGTAAATCTAATTTCGCTTTTCTGAGCAGGCAGAAACCTCTTCATGGGCACCTTCTCCTTCCTTTCCTCCTCAGAGGGGATGTAGGACACCTGAGTAGATTTTGTCTAGGAAGAGGGGAGAGGCAGACAGTGTAATTTTACTTCCTAATTTCATGCTGTTCTTTCATTTCCACAGGATATTAGAATATTTCCAAGGGACAATGATAAAGGACAGAAGATAGGCACTCTCCTTGGGTGGAGTCTTTTGTACTTGATTCTTTTAAGGTGTGCCCCAAGTCCCCAAGTGACTCACTTGTCACCAAACCAAGTGTTAACAACTCATCCCTCATGTTCTTTTCCAGATCAACAGATTTATTTGTTTTCAACTCCCAAATGCTATTTGAATGAACAAGGATCTCTTGAAAGACCTGGGAGAATTTTGCAAAGCATGGAATTAATCTGGTTCGGGTTCTGGGTTTTGGTCAGTTGTCTTCAATGCATGAGAACCCTAGTACTCTATGATATTTCAAGAAAGGGGGATTAAAAGTAATGCCAATAAAACAAAGACAATGCATTGCTTTGGTCAGTTAGGGAAGAAAAACAATAGCACTGCCTTTTGACTTCCCTATGGGAAGCAGAAGGTCTATAAACTTGTAGAGTTGGGAGGGGGGCATTCAAAGGCTAGGCTTGTAAGACAACTTCTCTTCAAAGCAGCTACCTGAGGTCCTTGTTTGGTCTTTTAAAATGTGTGCGCGCGCACGCGCGCGCATGTACACACACACACATATGATATATATGTGTGTGTATATATATATAATATATATATATATATATATGATGCTTTAAGAATAAGTGTATGACTGACTGTGTCCCATAATCGTCTCTTCATGAATTCACCTTTTCACTCAGTAACCTACTACACTGTGCTGTGTTGTTCTTCAGTTCATTCCAACTTTTCATCTATTTTTCCTGGTTGAGTTTTTCTGGCACTGGAAGAATTGCTCTGTTTGAGCACCTCCCTTGCCCCCAGTGAATTGGTAAATATTGCTGCCAGAGATCTGATTAGAGAGCTGTTAAGAATCCATTAAAATTCAAGCTCCATAGTCTGACCTCAATTATCTACTTTTCAGAGACATCAAATTCATGTAATTATAGTATAGGGTCTGTCATTTACCTGGGTAGAACTTCCTGAGTATTAGTCATGTAATTTGTGAAAGTATTTTGCTGGTCTGTATTAAAGTATCTTAACCCATGTGCTCTCTTTCATTGCAGATGAACAGGAGGCATTGAACTCGATCATGAAGGATCTGGTGGCCCTCCAGATGAGCCGACGTCCCCGGGTGCCTGGATATGAGACCATGAAGAACAAAGACACGGGTCACCCAAATAGGCAGGTGTGTGTGGCTCTGGCAGACTTAACAAAATTTGTTGAGGAGCGGTTTTCAGATGGGAAATATTTGAGAAGCCAAGAATACCCTTAATACCTGGCTTAAGTGCTCTTGGCCCCCTCTTTTCACAGTCTGTTAAGGAGTAAGTGATATATACCAACCAGATGTGGGTCATGATCTAGTCCCAAAGCTTTGTGCATCTGGCCTGGTGCATAGTGTTTCATCTGTGGAGAATAAGAATAATTTCTTTGCTTATTATGGGAACAGTAGTCATATAATTTTTCTTTTACTGTTTATTTGGCAAATATTATATCCAGATTCATGATTCCTAACTCAGAAGGTTTTTAGCTACCTTATAGTATGTACTCAGGAAAAGTTAATTAATTTTCAAATTAGGTTATGTAAAATATAATTAGAAATGGAGATTTATTTAGTAAAATGTCATATAGTATATTCTAAAGGTAACAATGAATGATTGTGTTATTGTTGTTGACAGTTGTTTACCCTTATTAATTCAGATAGTTGAGAGTGCCCGTTTTATTGAGAGTTGTGTGCTTCTTTAGGAAAACAACTTTTATTTTTGTTAACATTTAAACTTACGTGCTGTTGAGACCCTTCTCACCTGCAATGTCATTTACCGCCCTGTTTCCTGGGTACTTTGGCCAACAGAGAGGAGTGAATAATGGGGATCTTTCCTCCCTAGTGTGTATCTAGTGCCATATCAGATGGCTGTGTTTGGTGTGTTTGATGAAAATTTGTCCATGACATCTCCTTTGTGATTCTCTTTGTTATCAGCTAAGCTTCTCTCTCTTCATTTACACCGCTGTCTACCAGTTCTTCAGAAGCTACCCGTGGCTCTTAGAGAAAGCATACGGCCCTAGAATTTTTTCTGTCTGCGGTCTGCTAGATATAGCCTCCAAGAGTATTTCCTGCCTTTAGGAAAACTAGGAACCCTGAGTCCTTTCGTTTCATGTTATAACAGAAGGATCAGTTTAGAAAGCTTCTTTTATTTTTTATGGTTACCTTGCAGAAGTTGGGGAACAACAGAATAGGGCCCATTCTTACACTGTTTTCATACATTATTCTGTCTAATTGTGTGGCTTCTCCCTTGCTGTAATTCATTTCTATTCAAAACTGCTTTTGGAAGGAGCATTTTACCAGAAGTGAGTCCCCTCCCCCAGGCTTGAGCCTAATGACCTCACTTTCCTTCCTGTCTTCCTATGTGGAGTGTGCTTGCTAACGCTGCTCCAGTCAGCTGATGTTTCTCCAAATGGAACTATTAGCCTAGATATCAGTTTGTAGGTGAAAAGGGGAAGCTTTCTTGAGTTGGGAGGTCCAAAAGGACGAGGCTGGGAAGAAGACAGAGTGGTACCTGAGTAATCCTTGAAGGGGGATTACCTTTTAGAAATCATCTTTGTGTTTAGAGCCTAAAAGCTATTATAAGAAAAATCCTGATATTTTACTGTGCCTGCTGCTGCTATTGGAGTGAAGTCAGTGGTTATAAAGCTATAAGGTTGTGAAAAGGATTGACTGTTGGTTAGGAAGTAATCTTAGCAAGAGGTATTGGCTCTTAGGATCCACAATTTACTTGAATATTGTCAAACTTTTTCTGTTGCATGGAGGATACAAATTATTAACCTCAGTTTTTTTGTTTTTAAAGAAAAAACACAACAGCAGCAGCTCAGCCCTTCTGAACAGCCCCACAGTAACAACAAGCTCATGTGCAGGGGCCAGTGAGAAAAAGAAATTTTTGGTAAGGAACTAAATTACCCGTTAAAGCTAAAATGTGCTTTTAAACATGATTCTAGTGCTAGATGAGTGAGGAGTTCATTTCCTGGACAAGGCGTTTTAGTGGATTTGTAGAGAGCACTGGTTACTCATTACCTATGTTTTGTGTTTCTAGTTACCACGTTCCACAATATTACGCATAAGCAGCCTCTGTCAGTGTTGTCCAGTAAACGTTCTGTGATGGTCGAAATGTTATATACAGAGGGTGTCAAAAAAATGTATGCACATTTTAAGGAACAAACTATTAAAATTGTAAGACAATGAATGATGCTAGCATTCATTTGATTAATGCCATCTTTTGGGCGAATGTCACACTACACATTGCTATGTAATTCAATTCAACTTTGAAAAGTAATACATAGATAACATCTCTTAAAATGTGTATACATTTTTTTTGGCACCTCCAGTATTTGTGCTGTCCGATGTAGTAGCCACTAGCCACACGTAGCTATTGAGCAACTGAGGAACTGAATGTCAAATTTTATTTAATTTTAATTATTTTAAATTTAAATAGCCACATGTGGCTAGTGGCTATTGTCTTGGACAGCACAACTTTATATACAATATAAGGGACTACTGATTTGTTGGGCAAGAAATTAAGTACACGCTTAGAGATGTTTAACAATTCATTGACACATTCATTCCTTCACACAAGTCATGAGCTTCTATGCATTGTCATAAGCTTGTGAAGCTATGGAATGAGCATAGCTGTTTAGAAATTGAGACTCAAAATTTTATGATAATATTGGGTAAAAGGGCAATGAAAATGTCAAGATAGCTTTTCCCCTTAATAAAGTCAAGGTTATGGAATGGTCTTTCCTGGGAAATGTAGCAGATGTTCAGCTTCCGACCAGGAGAAATGTTCTTCCTGAAGGCAGAAAGAGGGAGACAGTCTCATTTCTAGGAAGGATGGGTGAGATGGGGATGGGGTTGGGGGGAACCTTTGACAGGGAGAGGTGTTTATAGCTTAGTGTAATGAAAAGAGACCAACTTAAGAGTCTGGAGATATTAACCTGTTAACGTAGGACTTTACAATTTATAGAGTGAATTCCCATTTATTACTATTCTTGTTTTGTTCACTTGGGCTTGGGATAGAATGAAACAGTTTTCTCCATTACCAATTCTTCTGCCAGAAGGTCCATGCTTAGGAGAAGAGAGGAATAAAAGATCAAAACCTAATTTAAATGGCTAAGAGATGTGCAATTGGGCTAAAGATTCAAATTGAAGACTCCTAGTTGAAAATAACCAAGTATTTTGGCTAGCAGGAAAAGTTGTTTATTCAGGGATAGGATGGTGCTGGCAATGCTGGCTACAAGGCAGAGCTGAGCTGAGATTGGCACATACAGCTTTGTGGGGCTCAAGCCTGGTACAGCAAGGAAAGCCAGAGGAGCTATGGGTTCATTGGCAGAATTGTTTGGGGGCTGAGGCCTGGAAGAACTGGAAAACCTAATTTAACATCTCTGCTTGGCAGGACTTTAGACATCCTCTTTCCTGAGTAAACAAGTTAGGGTACTGATTGAAAAAGAAAATGCTTTTGAGAACAACTAAGCATCTGAGCAGCTATGGAGGTATATGGACAATGAGGTGCTCAGCTGTGAACTAATTGATAGGAGGTGAGGTAGGATCTGTGTTCTCTGCATTCTCCCTCCTGTGCACTAGGTCCCTCAAAGCCTACAGCCTGGTTAGAGCTGGCTGAACGTTCTTAGATACATGGCAAATCCTAAGTGTATCTGGGTCCTGTGGCTAGTGATGTGTAATATCCTTTTAACAGTCATCAACTTACAGTACTTACAACCAACAGGTGCTATTTCTCTGTAGTGAAAAGAGCACTGGAGGAGAAGTCCTTGAGCTGTTAATAACCCATTAACATAGGTTTTTCCAATTTACAGAGGGCTTTCTACAACAACAGCTAACAACAATAACAACAACTATAAACATGTATAATACTTTAAAGTATATAGAGTGCTTGTGCAAAGGTATTGAGTAGAGCCAGGAAACAAACCCAGAACTTCTGACGCCTGGTCACTGTCACTGTAATTTGACTGTGTATAAGTCCAATAACCTTTCTAAACCTCAGTATGTCCATCTGAAACATAGAGACAATAATACCCATTGTGTTTACCTCTTCAAGCTGTTTTAAGATCATGGACAGAATGTAGAGCATTTTGTACATTGTAAAACAAATAAAAATGGTAGTGATTACATCACATATGTTATGTTCTGGCATTGTGGGTATTTGTGAGCTCTAATGGATGCTTCTAGCCAGAATTATACATACTGTCATGGAATCAAAGGGCTAAGGTTTCCTACCTTTATTGGATTGTCATTACTATCTGACAGTTCTTTGTGGACTTCCAAAGCTAGCCTAATTTCTGAAAATCCCAGTGGAAGAAGAAATAGAATCCTTATTTCCACAGATTCCTGTTTTCCTCAAATCCTATCCAAATGGTAGGTAGAGGCTTGAACAGAGCCCAGGGTCTCTGTCCGACCCTCCAGCTATTCACTAGTGGGTGCTTCAGAATGAGAAAGTTGCTTTCTCCATAGCAGGCCCAAGCAGGGCAGGACTCCTGGCAGGCAGTCCTAGAGGAGGAGAATTCCAGGAGCTGTTCCCCCAGCAGCCTCAGTGATTTAGCAAACCGTCTTTTGCTTTTACTGTGATAGACCTGGCTCTTCAGGACTTCCTGTGTCTCTCAAGGATCGTTGATAAGATAGGCTGGTCAGTTTGAAAATAAAACATAACGCAATATACAAGCCTGGTATTCTGTTTTGTAAGAAGCTGCTTTATAATCATGTCTTCCACTGGTCTCTTAGGATTATCCTGAGTCACACTTATAAATAAAATTATTTTTGTTGCCCTTTTCTTTTTCTCCTCATTTATTTTACTATCTTTGGCAAAACAAGGACTCCAAAGCCAAAGGTGTGGGAGCCATCAAAGGTATATAGCAAATATAGGGAGAGGGAGCATTACAGAATCAGAGAGCGTACCAGGCCTGATGGCTAGCTGAGGCCTTTGCCAGATCAAATTAGTTCACAAATCTTTGTTTAGTAAACATTGTTTGATTTTTTTGCATTATTGAGAGCCCTTTTGGGTTACATGTTCAGTTGTTGAGTTCAGACTTTGAGAAGGTCATTTCTGCTTAAGCTTGGTGTCATCTTTTGTTACTGTTATTGCCTCTGCTGAGTTCCCAAATCTGTAGCTCACCCTGGAGGCCTGCACTGTCCTTTTCCTGGGTGTGGCTCTCACTGTTCCTTTCACCATTTGGCTGTGGTGAACAGGGGACTTAAACCTACCTAGACCTGAATTTTTGTACTGGAACATTTTCCTTAGTAGCTGTGGCACCTCTCCATTCAGTTTCTTAGACATACAAAATAAATATAAGTTATATTCCCTGTACTCTAGGAAGCATGTAGTCTTATGGGAAATGAGAAATTCACACACGGAAAAGAAACTTAAGGTAGAATGTAACTATGCCCAAATATATGATACAGATAGTAAGTGCTATAGGAGGCCAGGAAAGTGAAAGATGATGAACTTGGACCAAAGGAGTTATAGAGTCATTGCTGGAGGAGGTGGCACTTGAACTAGGCTGTAAAAGTTTAGTTAGGTGGAAAGGAAGAAGAGTGGTATTCCAGGTTGGGAAACAGAATGATGAAAGGCCTATGGGAAGGAATGAATATGGCATATTTCAGGAAGTAAGGTGAACATTGATCTTTCTGGAGAGAGGGTTCCTGTTGAGAACAAACAATGTGAGATGGTTAGATAAATTGAATGAACTTAAATTCCAGAGGGCTTTGAATGATAGTTGAGAATTTGGACTTTATTCCGTAAAGTCATGGGGATCACTTATTACTTTTTGAACAAGGAAGGGCCATGGTGAAAGCGGTGGTTAAGACTATTGAAATTGTAGAGGAATGTAGAATGTGTTGGAAGGGGGGGTAGCCCAGAAATACAGAGCTGCTTTGGGAATCCAGGAGTGAGGGGAAAGGGGCTCAACGAGAGTGATAATGGAGAGAATGGGAGTTATCCTGGAGGCCTTTGAAGGGAGAATTGGAACTTGCTATCTGGCTGTGAGGAGGAGAAAGAAAGGAAAGAATCAAGCAGAACTCAGAGGTTTGAGCCTGTAGCCAGGAGAGCAGTGGTACCAATGTTTAGAAATAGCAGCATTGAAAAGGGAGACTAGCTTAGGAGGGTAGTTGATGCAGATACATGTGGCTAGGTTGAGTTTGAGATTACAGTGAAAAACTCAGATTGTGTGCATATATGTGTGTGTCCTTTTTCCAAGTCCACAGTCCCATATCTGCAGTTCTGAAATCCAAACAGTACTGCAAACTGAAAGGCTTTTTTTTTTTTTTTGGTACATTTGTGGTAAACCCTGGTATGAATGAACACAGGGCTACGTATAGTCTTTATTTATTCCACTTATTGTGACTATTGATACTTTTCACTACAAAAACTAACTTGTGCTGTGTTAACAGATAAACCCTAAATCTTAGTGACTTAACACAGTATGTCCAGTATAGAGAAGGGGAGCACAGTATCCCTCACAGTCATGTAAGGACCCTAATTGAGAGTAGCTCCATTGACTTGGAACATGTGGCTATCAGGGAAGAGTCTAGAAACTCAATTCTGTTCCCAGCTCTTGGTCAGAGCTAGTCACAAAGCCCAAAACTAACCTCAAGAGAGGCTAAGCAGTACAGAGGGGAGTGCATGGGACACCTGTGAGAATTCTGCCTGTGCCATGGAAGCGCTATCCCAGACACCCTCCCCCTAAAGGGAGCTGTCACATAATAGATAGAACATATACCATACTACCTCTCTAAATCCAGAGTGCATTCTGAAACACTTTTGGCTCCAAGGGTTTTGGCCAAAGGATAATGGACTTGTATTATTTATTGAGCACTTGTGATGTATCAGGTACTGTTCTCATATCTTCATCAATTATTTCACTTAATTCTTTTGATAACTCCATGAGATAGAGTCTATCACTATTCTCACTTTACGGATGAGGAAACTGACTCGCAGAGTTAGTAACAAGTTCAGGGTCACATAGCTAAGAGGTTGTAGAACCAGGATTTGAAGCCATACAGTTTGACGCTAGCACTACATTCTTAATGATGACATCTCTGCCTCAAATACATGGCAGACAGATGAAGTTTGGCTTGAGAGGCTGGGAATCTTCCAGCGACATAGAGATTTGGGAATCTTCTATTGGGTTGTTGGAAAAGTCATGACGCATTCTTGCAACGAAAAACAGAAAAGAATACATCATGACTAGAAAAAAATACATCATGACTTTTCCGACAAACCAACATTTAGAGGTTGCCTGATTTTTTATTCCTACATAGGAGATGTGAGGAGAGGGGGAGAAATCCAGAGGCCAAAAGTCTAAGCATCAAGGACAGGTCACATGTGGGGGGAGGGGTGGGAGAGGGCATGAGGAAGAGGAACCAGCAAAGAAGCAGAAGTAGCTAGAGTGATGGCAGGTTCCCTGGGCTGGGATAGAGTCACAGAGGCAGGGGAAGAGAGAAAGTCATAAAAGAGGACTTGGCCACCAGTTTGAAATACCTGAGAGAGGCAAGGAGAATTGTTGGCAGGAAGGAATTAAATCAGGTATCTTTATCCGAACTTGCTTATGCATGGCGTATTTTGGTCAGCCTAACAGGTAAAACGCAGATTTAGAAATTTGGCCAATTTGGGCATACGTATGGTACATGGAAGCTGGTTATGGGCTGGCATCCTACTCTTAAAGGCTGTCACCACATCGGAGAAGGGATTCAGAGCACTGGGCATCTTTGCTCACAATGCTTACTAATCACAGGCTTGGTTAGTCTTGAATAGGAGTGATTTGTGGTTTGGGGCAAAAGTTTAATTTCCTTTCTGACTAAATTCACTAATTTTTTTCTAATAGAAGAGTGCTTAGATTATGGCCCATCATGAATAAATTTATTTCCTTCAGACCCACAAAGGGACTGAAGGGATCCCTTTATAGGTGCATCTAAATATAATGTCCCAATTTAAGAATGAGAGCTATTGTTATGTGTTTTTTATTGCTATGAAATTAAATAAAAATTAATGGGGCGGGGGGGGAACCTAAGGACATCTGAATAAACTATTGACTTTAGTTAATACACCAGTGTTGGTTAATTAGTTATAACAAAAACAAATGTACCATACTAATGTAAGATGTTAATAATAGGGAAAACTGTGTAGAAGACAGGTATATGGGTACTCTCTACTCTATCTAAAAACAGAATCTGTTAATTTAAAAAAATAATGAGAGCTACATCAAGGTGTGCTGGGCTGTGAGCAGGAGGGAGTGAAAGGATGTGGTAACTTGCAGGGACAGACTGCAAATTGTGGTAGGCACTTGGACTACTCCAGAGCCAGTTGTGGAACTAGAGATAGTGGGAAGCTGGAAATGGTATGTCAGAGCATGGCAGCATGTCTCAGACACCCTGCTTTGGAGGGCTCTTGCCTTGGTAACTGTTTAATGTTTCAGGGAAGGAGAAAAAGAAAGAAGACAGTGAAAAAACTATTATCAACTCATAAAAACCTTGAATCTACAGGATAAATTCTACTGCAGCACCACCTCCCAGCCTTTCTGCTACACACACACACACACACACACACACACACACACACACACACGCACACACACACCACCCCACCACCCCCAATCTCTCCACGCAATGCAGACCAGGTCGGATACACTGCCTTCCTGATTTACTGCCTCCATCATAGCTTGCTGCATGATTGGCACCAGTCTCCTGGTCCTGACTCCATTATTACCCCAGAAATGGGGTGCTTTCTATCTCCTCCATGAGTTCCAAAAAGTAATACCACAAAAGATCCTTTGATAGTTTTCATCTTTCAGTGCTCGCATTGAGGCCCTGCATCTATCTGTAAGTAAAATAAGCCTCTTTTGCCTGTGCAATGCTTAAGTTATAGCATAACATGGTAGTTAAGAGCTGGGCTTCCATGGTTCGATTCCTGGCTCTTCTTTTACAAGCATCATCACCTTGAGCGTACTTATTTAACCTCATTGTAATTCAGTTTCTTCTGTAAAATAGGGGTAGTAATAGTACCTGTTGTGAGGATGAATTTAATTGATATATGTAACATGCTTAGAACAAGTCTTAGTACATAGTATATGCTAAATAAACGTTAGCTATTGTCATACATTATTCATGGATAAAGTGGTCCATATGTTAGATTAAGGAATGAGAGGTGTATATTGGCTGTATTTTGAAGAGTTGTTACATCACAGACCTGTTCTTCAGGGAAGCTTTGCTCTCCACTGTTTAGTACGAACTTTTCAGAGATACTACACCAAGCTCTCTGAGCGTGTTTCCCTATCTTTAAAATAGTGGGTTAGAGGATGGTAAACTTAATTGAGTAATTCTCCAAGTGTGGCCTGTGGCTGGGGACCTCTAGGAGGTTCCTAAGACCCTTTCAGGGATCCATGAGGCCAAAACTAATTTCATAATAATACTAAAATGTTACTTGCCCTTTTCACCCTCATTTTTAAGAATGTACAGTAGAATTTTCTAGAGATTACATAATATGTGTTATCACAACAGATTGAAAGCAGAAGCTGATCTGAGAATCCAGCTGTCTGCTATTAAGCCATGCATTGAAAAGATTTACATTTTCTCACTAAACTTTAAAAAGTATAGTTATTTTGTATAAAAAATGTATTTACGTTAACATGTAATGTTTTTTAATTATTTTAAAATGGATAAAATTAAATTTTCTCAGTTTTAATTTCTAATATGGCAAATATCAATAGCTATAATGTACATAAACTAAAGCTCTTTGTGGCCCTTAAAATTTTTTAGAGTATAAATTAAAATTACTGGTCCAGTTCAGTGGACTGGAAAAGAATTCTATCCCCCTAATCTCTTGGGAAAAGGAAGTCCTTTGTGTACCCATCCTACTTTTCAAACTCTCTCCCTTTTCTGTCATCTGTCTGCTCTGTGTTCCTCATCTTCAGATACTCTGAAACCCTCTTCTTTCTTCCAAGCCACAGCCTGTTAATTTGTCTTCCTTAGTATAATTTTAATTCACTGACTGTGAACTTATTCTCCTTCATTTCTATTATTTGTTAGTTTCCTGACAATCTTACTTTTCTTCTATACCTGTTTTTTTCTTCTGTAATATCTTTTGCTTTTTCCTGTCATATTTAGCTCCCTCAAGCTGTTTGCCCTTTACAGTATAGTATCTCTTCCTCCTTGATTTGACATTCTAAAACTTCCTCTTATTTCTGCTGTTTACACTCAACTCTGTTCTTCAATTAATTAATCTACTTAACAAATATTAAGTACAAATATTATATACCATTCCCTTTGATTGTCACTGGGGGTACAGAAATATGAGAGACATGATTCCTGTCTTCCCAGAGTTTATAGGCTACCCTTGATGGTCATTTCATTTAGGTTAAAGCTGGGGGCAGTTATAAGGTGATTTGTCTAGGGTCCCACTTTATCCCCCCTGGGGTTAGCCTTGAGAGGATCATGGAAATCAATAGTAGCAGCAACCATTTATTGCATGTCTACTATGTACCAGGTATTTTACTTACATAGCAAGTCTGCAAATTAGATATGTTTAGCCCCACTCTATGGATGGAAAAACTAGACTCAGAGGATAGGTAACTTGCTTATGGTCATATAGCTAGGAAGTATCATACTAAGATTTCTTTTCTGTTCAGTTACCTCAGCCAAGAAGGAAAGGTGTCCTGGCCAGAAGGTTATATGGAGGGATGAGCTGTCACAGCATAGCAACTAAGCTGGGGCAGCCACCTAGGGATCTTGTCCCAAGAGCTTTGTTGCCCCTGAAGTTAGAACTGGAAGGCTACAACTCATTGGGAAGGAATGTCTATAGGGTAGAGAAGCTGGAACAGGAGCCGTCAGGGATATTTGTTTAATGTTGCTAAAGGGCTGCCTGAGGCTTACCTGGGAGTAACATGCCAGAGAACCCGCTAACCTGTCTATCATTCCTTTGACAGAGTGACGTCAGAATCAAGTTTGAGCACAACGGAGAGAGGCGGTAAGTCTGCCTTCTGATCAGTGGTTATGTCCCTGGAGTGGTCCCTGTGGGGTCACTGACTGGACAATGGGGTTGACTGGGCATAAGGGGAAAGTTTCACTCTTGGCCTGGCCTACCAATGGAACTTGTTTCTGATCTTAGAATTGAAAGCCATTACAACTGCTGATGTTTTATGCTCTTCTGCTCTTATTCTGCCGCTGTGAGATCTGCCTGTTTGCTAGGGGAGGAAGTCAGGACTCCAGCCCTACTCAAAGTCATGGCTTCCAGACACACTGACACTGTGTCACCTGTGGGCATTAAAGGGAGATCAGGATTCTTTTGTGACGTGGTGCCATTCCCATGCCTGGTAGAATGGCCCTGACTTTGCCCACATCAGGGGCCAGGTTGGTGAATTGGAAGTTTCTTTATAATGTTTCTATGTCATGGGAAGCTTCACCAAGTCCCTCAGTTGTGAAAGAGTTTAGATCATTTGAGGACATAGAAAGAGGGAGTTTTTCAATCTATATTCTGTGTCTTACCTTGTTAGGGAAGTGAAAGTAATGTTACAAGACCCTTATGTCTTTTTCTCCATTGTCAGTATTTAGTTTTTTCGTAAGAAGACAAGGTAGACTTCTCAGGGGAGAAAAATACGATTTTACTTAATTTCTCAAGTTATTTAAAGAAAAATTTCTAAAAACCGTACAGAATTCTGGTCATGGGATGTTTTGGCCTCTGTGTGTGCATATATGTGGCATGTATGTAAGTATGCATCACTGTCTGTTTCCCGCTCTGCCTTTCTCTCCCACCCATTGATACCCCCGTTTCCCCTTCGCTCTGAGCATTTGGAGAGGTGAAGAGCATACCCATGAGGATAAGGTCCTCATACTTTACAAATCCCACCAGAGGACCTTAATGCCTCCAGACATTCTTAGTGCTCAGAGTTCTCTGTTGCTGGCAGCTTTCAGTCCGCTTTGAAGCGAGCTCCAAGGAGATCTATGGCTGCTGCTTGCTCTTAAAAAGATACGTTCACAAGCCTGCAAGGTTATCAGAAGCTGCCTGGTGGAAACATACAGAGTGGTCTGCAGAGCCACAGTCCTGCTGCTGCCATGTGGGTTCTAGGGCTGTTCCAGGCCTGGAAGGAGGAAGGTCTTCTGAGCTCTGTCCCTAGCTACTCCTCTTGTGTCCTGCCTGTAGCAGGGAAGTTAAATTGTCACTTCATTGTTTCTGCTTTTCACACTTCTGAGCTGACTGGGTTTTGGAGGGATGGCCAAACTCCGAGCTGCACAGAGTTTTCAGAGGTAGATATGCAATCAAAAGCTCAATTGTGTTGAAGCCTAATTATGCAGTTACGCTCTCCTGAATTCCTGTTCCCAAAGTGGTATGCAGTTACAGTGAGCAGACTTATGCTGAGAAAGTGTATGTGTTTAGTTTCAGAGAAGCTGCCAGATTGAAACCACAAATATTTAAGGTGGTTAGGCAGGAATGGCCTTTTGAAGCCCTGAGCGGCAGAGCTTTGGTATCAAGGTTTTGAAAACTGCATTCTCTTTTTATGGAGCTGTTTTCAGGAGCCATGGCATTTCACTGTTTGTGTACTATGTGTGGAATTGAGGACTTTATAAAGTTGGTGCAGGGAAGCCAAGTTCAAGCTGCACTGTGCCAGACAGCTCTGGTTTCATGTAGTTCATGTCTTAGGATTTTGTAGAGAATGTTATTGTGAGCGTTCTTTTCTTTTTACAGGGAATATGGGCAGTATCTATCTAAATATTGTAAGCCCTTATAGAATTATGATTTATAGAAAAAAAGGAAAAGTCATGACTTTTCCCATTCATCTGTGCCAGGTATCTGTTTTGGTGAGCTGACTTTCCCTTTGCTGGGGAAGGGTGGGGCCCAGACTCCTGACCTTTCTCCCTCTTAGACCCAGGAGGGCAGAAGGGGAGCACTGTAGATTAGTATCTCCTTCCCTTTGAAAACCTTCATGTCTGGACACTGGTGGGGGTAGTTGTCAGAGATGTTAGACCCCTTCTTTGTTATTCACGGTGATAGCAGCAGTTTAGATCTTACCAAATCTGAAGTCCTGGTTTCTGATCTTGACCAGACTTTGGGGGTGGAGGTGGGGTGGGGGGAGGTTGAATGGCTCGTTGCCAGCCCAAATGCAGGAGAATTATCTCTGAGCCTGCTCCTTTTCTAATAGTGTGCTAGCAACATGAGTGGTCACCTGGTATTTTATTCAGAAGGGCGGGCCCCTTTTGGACTGTTGCTGAGGTCCTGATGAAGGGGCTATGCTTTGTGATTAGGAATTTACGGAAAGCCATTCTTGCAAAGGTTCCAGAAAACACTCATATCTAGATAACCCATATCTAGATAGCACCCAACAGTATTACTGTTTGGGAAGATGATTTAAGGGGAAAAAAATATAAGGATTACAGTATGGATGAATTTCCTGGTGGATACAAACTAAGATATTCAGCAATATAATTTCCAAAATTAAAGAAATTATCTGGTCAGATTCCATTAAAAACCAATGGCATAGATTCATTCCTCTTTCCTGTGGTTTATTGCTTCTTCCTCTGGTTATACCACTTGCCACTGTGGAGGCGCAAGGAAGATGTGAGAGAACCACACACTGCTTCCTGTCAGCATGGAGAGGGCAAGAGCTGTAGAGGCTCCATGGCCAAGTGCTGTTCCTCCACCACATGCTAGTCAGATTTCACCCAGCCTGGGCGCACTCAGAGCTGAAGGTGGTTTTAATATACATTTTCCCCACCACATCAAGCTTCTTTCTGTGTGTTTATTAACCATTCATAACTCTGATTGTCTTATCATATCCTTTGCCTGTTTTTCTGTTGGGTTGTTCGTCTTTTTCCTATTGATTTTTGCAACTATTTTCTCAGTTTGATATTTTTTTAACTTTGTTGATGGTTTATTTTGTCATCAGAAGTTTTAATTTTTTTTCTTTTAGTTTTAACTGGCATTTATTTTTAGTGAAGTTGAGTATCTTTTCATATGATTAAGACTAATTTTTTTAAGATCTACGTGTAATGTATTTATTTATTTAATTAGTTTCATGTGTACGCAGCAACATAATAGACATTTACACCACTTACAAAGTGATAACCTCCCTCCACCAAGCTACTACCTCTCTGACATCTTATATAACTGTTATAATACCATTGACTATCTTCCTTATGCTATACTCCACCTTCCGTGACTACAAACATATATATATATATTTAATTATAGTTGACATGCAATATTCTACTGCAGCTTCAGGAGTGTAGCACGTTGGTCATGCATCTACACAGTCTATGAAGTGATCTCCTTGATAAGTTCAGTGCCAGAGTTTAAATTTTTGTTGTAATCTATCTTCTTTCTGTCTTTTGTATTTTATGTCATACTTAGGAACTCATTGCCCACTCTAAAATTTTTTAATCCTATATTTTCTTTTGTGTATGTATGTGTGTGTATGTGTGTGTGTATATATACATATATACACACACATACACATATATATATATAGAGAGAGAGAGAGAGAGAATGTATATGAGTTTCTGATACTCGCTTCTGTTTATCTCTTTGCTTATTTTTGTTTATTTAATTATTTGTTTCAGAGTATTATGTTGGACCCATATGAAATGGCCACTTTTATACATCAAAATTGTTGACTATCAGCAGTATCATATATATTTATTAAACCTAATATATTCATTAAAACTTCCTAATGAAAATTTTAAACACACACAAAAGCAGAGAGAGTATTTTACAGAACCCCCCGTGGATTTGTCACCCAGTTTCAACATTATCAACATTTTGCCAGTCTTATTTCATCTTTCCCCACTTTTAAATTGCGCTGTGATATTTAATGACAAATTATTTTAAGACCCCTTTGGACAAGTCCTTACTCTGCCCTCCATTTATAGAAATTGTTCTTTGAACTGACCTAATGAACCTCTCTAGAAAAGCGTCAATATCAGCACCACTTAACATGCCCACACGTGTCACTGGTCAAGAAAACTGATCAGGCATATAACCAACTCGAGGGGAATTCCTGTGACTCTGTGGTAGGAATTCTCAGTTCTGAGGATAATCAGTATTGAGATTCCTGTGGCATCTCAAAAATGAACAATGGAAAGAAACCTTTCGAGTCCTGGATGAATTACTTAAGAGTTAAGACCATTTTTTTCAGGACTGCTGCTCCAGTCTTCAGGTTTTCTTCCTAGCAGGAGTATTTGTAACATAGGTTTTAAATCCAGGTGTCCTGCTATGATGCTGAACTGCCATTGACAGGAAGATCCAAGCTGAAGTGGTAGAGCAGTGGTTGGGATTGAGCAATGCTTGTAGGCACTATTGGCAAACCTGAGAGATGCTCAGAGGAAGAGTGAAAAGATACAGGTAGATAAGAGAAGGAAAAAAACAGTGGAGAGATAGGCAAACTTCATGCAAAAGAGAATCCTATGTTGAAAAGAAAAGGAAGATACCACACCGAAGTCACAGCTTTCTAAACCTTCCATTCCAATATACAATTAACCTGCTTCCTCTTCCTTTTCAGAATTATAGCGTTCAGCCGGCCGGTGAGATATGAAGATGTGGAGCACAAGGTGACAACAGTGTTTGGGCAGCCTCTTGATCTACATTACATGAACAATGAGGTAAGAAAGTAGGTGGACGGTGTGAGGACAACAGAGGGGACAGCTGCCCCCTTTTTTCTCTCTGCTTTACTGAGGATTTCCTAGTTTGTTCCTCTAATATCATCTGCAGGTTTTCACTTTCTGGAGCCTGTTTTCTTAAGTCCAGTAACTTGGGGATTTCTGTTTGGTTTTTTTTACTACATGGGAGATTGCATATTTACTTCCTTTTCCTCCTGCTCTTTCAGTGCCAGTTGCTCTATTACTCCTGGGTAGAATCAGGTACCAGGGCCAGGGCTTATGTTGTCTCCTTTACATTTTGTAGGTTATCTTTCTCTTTCCAGCACAGCCTTAACAAGAAGCAGAGGGCTCAGCAGGGGCTGGGGAGATGGGAAAACAAGTGGGTAGGTCATCTATTAACAGTCATAAATGCTGGATTCTTGTCTGAGAGTTTCACTCCTGATTGTAGCTTGTTTCAAAAGTTAGCACCTGCTCCAGTGAGTTCTTTGACTTCCTCTTGCTTCCTCTCACCCCTACCCCCAAAATCCTTGTTTATTCATACTTTGAATATCACCCAGGAAGAAATTCTTTTGAATGTCAGTTACTTGGCTGCTTTCCCAGCTCAAAGAAAGGTACTAGAGGCTGCAATCTGCTTAGGCTGGTACTTTGCCTTAGTTTGAAAGGTAATGCGTTTGTGCCTGGTAAAGAACGTGTGTCTGGAGGAAACTGAGTTGGGGCCAGACAGGAAAACTGGGCAATGTGATAGCTCTTTGAGAGTCAGATCATTACTGTATAGTTTTGTTTATTGGTTGAGGAGTTAAGAATTTCCTCTGTAGTTTGGGGCTAAAATCTATAGGGGCTGAGATTTGTTGGCTAAAAACTCCCTGGTCCCTTCATACAAAATGTACAACTACAATTGGATATACTGCCAAGTAGCTAACAAAAATAAGACCATCTGATCCTTTGTTTTTTGGATAAATTTTAGAAATATAGCAAGCTTGGAAAATAAACTCCTAACTCTAATAGTTAATAAATAATACAGATGTAATACAGATGTAAGTATTTTAAAGTATGTAAACTAACATATTTTAAATATAGGATATGAGAACCCCCAACATATAAATGTCAAATCCATTGAACTTTAAAAAATTACAGCTCAAGCTTCAGTAATTTGCATAAGAAACTAAGGCTAAAGTCAGCTAGCTAATCAGCACTAAAGAAGGTGTTCTTTAGTTAGTGAAGACTTTTCTGGATGATTTAGTACTTGTTTCTCTTTCTATTACTACTTCCATCAAGAATTCCAGATGTCCCAAAATCCATGTCAAATTCTTATGTGAACAAAGTCACTGCCCAGAATGTTGGGTAGTCTCTTGTTAAAATGTTTATGGGGATATTAATTCTAAAGCCAAATATAAATAATTGTTATTAATTATTTTAGATCGTGCATATCTTTCCATACTCGACTAATTTACATTTTATTAATTTAAAACCCCTCAGTCCCCCTTTTTTCTTTGCCCTCTAAACCCTGCCTTGTCAGGATTTGAGAACCACAAATGAAAAATCTGTTGAGGTTTTATTTTATTTGTGTTTATATTTTTTGTAATAGTTTTATTGAGATATAATTCATCTACCATAAAATTTACCCTTTCAAACTGTTCAATTGACTGCTTTTTAGTATCTATATATATGCGTAGAGTTGTGGAACCAACACCACTATCTAATTCCGGGACTTTTGTTAGCAGTCACTTCCCCGCTCTCCCTCTAGCCCCTGGCAACTACTTACCTACTTTCTGTCTCTCTGGACTTGCCTGTTCTGAACGTTCATATACTAAGTGGAATCATACAATATATGGCCTTTTGTGTTTGGCTTCTTTCACTAAGCAGACTGTTTTCAAGGTTCATCCATATTGTAGCATGTATCAGAACTTCATTCCTTTTTGTGGTTGAATAATATTCCATTATATGAATGTACTACATTTTGTGTATCCATTCATCTGTTGATGGATACCTGAGTTGTTTTCACTTTTTGGCTATTATAAATAATGCTGCTGTAAACATTTGTATACAAATTTTTATATGAATATATGTTTTCAGTTCTCTAGAGTATATACCTAAGAGTAGAATTATGGGCCTTATGATAACTATGTTTAATTTTTTGAGGAACTGCCCAACTTTCCCATATCTCCTGCACCATTTTGCATTCCTATCTGCAATGTATAATGGTTGCAGTTTCTCCACATCCTCAACATTTGTTATTTTCTGGGTTTTTTTGTTTGTTTGTTTTTTTAATTATAGCCATACTAGTAGGTGTGAAGTGGTATCTCATTGTGATTTTGATTTGCATTTCCCTAATGACTAATGATTGAACATCTTTTCAGCCATTTGAATGTCTTCTTTGGACAAATGTCTATTCAAATCCTTCACCCATTTAAAAAATTGGATTATTTGTTCTTTTATTGAATTGTAAGAGTTTTTTGTTTTTTGTTTTTTATTCTGGATGCTAGACCCTTATCATACATTTGCAAAATTTTAGCTCTTTTTTTAAAGTTAAAACCTACTCCAGTAATTTCTTTATCCCCGCCCCCCCCCCACACACACACACATACACATACACACAATTCTTATTTATTCCTACTTTGAATGTTACCCAGGAAGGAATTATTTTATTTATTTATTTTTTAGATTTATTGGGGAATTGGGGAGGGGGAACAGTCAAGTTGTTGTCTTTAGTCTTAGTTGTGGAGGGTGTAGCTAGCTCAGCTCCAAGTCCAGTTGCCATCTGGCCACCTGTTGGCAGCTTGCGGCCACTCAGCTCAAGGTGCCATGTTCAATCTTAGTTGCAGATGGGCATAGCCCACCATTCCATGCATGAGTCGAACCGGCAACCTTGTTGTTAGGAGCACGTGCTCTCACCAGCTGAGTCATCCTACCGCCTGTTGGCAGCTCAGCTCGGGCACAGCTCACTGGCCCATGTGGGAATCGAACTGGCGACCCTGTTGCTCAGAGCTTGTGCTCTTAACCAACTGAGCCACTCGGCTGGCCTCAGGAATTCTTTTATAATTTGATATGATTTGCAAAATTTTTCTCCCATTCCATGGGTTGTCTTGAGATTTTATTTTAAATACTATTCTTACTATTTGTTTTTTCCTGGCCTAGGATTTAGAGTTCTCACCTCTTTGTATTATAAGTTGGGGACTAAAGAAATTAATTGGACTTTTGCTTGATTTTGTGTTTGCCACAAATGTATAAGATCTGACATTTGCTGGGTCCTAGGCAAAGCATCCTTTTACTTCTTTTAATACTAAGTACTCATAATTTCCTCTGCTTTTAACAATGAAGGAGACTTATCTGTACACCCAAGGACTTTAATATTTGAGTCGAATGAAAATGGAGAAGGTATTTGGGGGGTTTAGTCACTGATTTTTACCTTTAAATATTAAAATATTAAACCCTGCTATGTCGTCTAAATTGGTGCTCCTATTTGAGTAACAGTTTTCATCTACTGCCCTCACTCCACCTGTGCCTTTTGTGCTTGTTCTGTTAATGTCAGCAGAGGATAGGGCAGGACATGATTCTGCTGCTTAATTTGGGATGAAATATGTAGACTATAACTGTTTGGGATTTGATGCTTTGGAGTAAAGGGTATTTTTAGAGAGGAAGCTCTTTTCAGAAAATATATCAAAACAAAGTACTGATGTTTGCTTCAGCATGGGTGAACTCAAAAACGTTAAGCTAAGCGAAAGAAGCTAGATGCAAAAGAATGTGTATGAATTGAATATGTATGAGCATTGTATGATTCCATTTACGTAAAATGTCCAGAAAAGGCAAATCTATAGAGACAGAAAGTAGATTAGTGGTTGCCTGGGGCTAGAGGTGGGAAGAAGCACAAGAGGTCTTCTTTGGAGCAATGGAAATGTTTTTAAATTGAATTGTGGTGATGGTTGCAAAACTGTAAATTTACTAAAAATTGTTGAATTTTACACTTAAAGAAGAAAATATCTCTGTGGTTTCAATTAGATCTTTTAAGACCCCATAGCCTCCAGTGAGATTGTTTTCCTCCAGACTTATTTTTATTTTTTATTTTGCTTACTTTTACAAACTGAAGACCTTTTTATGATTTCCTTTTTCTGTGTTGCATGTCACAGCTCTCCATCCTGCTGAAGAACCAAGATGATCTTGATAAAGCAATTGACATTTTGGATAGAAGCTCAAGCATGAAAAGCCTTAGGATATTGCTGCTGTCCCAGGACAGAAACCATGTAAGTAGCGCCCGTCATGTCCTGGCAGCCTAAGACAAAGCTGCTGTCCTTCAGGAATTTGACTTGCTTCCTTGACTGAATCCTGTGTTGCTCAGCCACTGCTAATGTGAAAACCTAAGCGTGGCCCAGTCCACTGTGTCAGTGGCCAGCTAGTCTTGTGCATTTGATTTTACTGCCAAGTCAGATTGTAAGTGCTAAAGTTGCCGCTAAAGGTTATTTGGCTTATGGTGTGGGAGAAAGGAAAACATTTCATAATAAAAGATAAATATCTTTTTCTCTGTATTTATGTTCTCTCAATTAGATTTGGACCCCAACAAGAGAGATTTGATTAGCTTGGGGGTGCTGATAAACAGAGGCTGTCAAGGATTTGAGATTGTCATGCTTTGTAAACCCAATTCCCACAACCCCTCAGCAACTGTGCCTTTCCCTGGGGCCACATGTAGGAAACAAACTTTTTTTCTGTTGCTTGGAAAACGGACCACTGGGCGGCAGGGTCCCTTGTAAATTACCAGCTTCTGCCTTACCAAATGGCAGGCAATCTGAGGAATTCTCTCTTACGCAGTTTCCTCTCCTAAAGGGCCCCTGGGGCCCTACATTCCATAAGAATGCTTGTAAATTGGGTCTGTCTTCTAATCATGGATTCCTCTACCAGTTTTCTTCAGACACATGTTCCTGAAGGTTTCTTGGCACTCTTTCCTTACACTTGAAGACAGCCAACTGTACACAGCTGACATTGCTGCATGAGAGCTATGGATGCACCACACCAGGACAGAGTTTATATGGAATGGTGCTCATGCTTCATTTATTTTTAAAGAGACTCATGGGGTTGGGCTGTCCTACTGATTAAGGGGAAGGCACAGGAGAATGCAGTTAGGAAGCCTTAGAATAAAGAAGACCTTTTCTAATATGACAGAAGTGTCCTTGTGCATGAGGATTGGTCTTTTGTATCCCAAATGTGTCTTTTCTCTGGATATGTTTTGGGAAGTATTCTGAAGTAAAATATATACTTTATTATTTCATTTCTGTTTAACTTACCTGCTCCTTATAGTCCTTCCTTATTGCCTATCATATAAGATCTAAATTTAGCCTAGCATCCAGGGTTTATCACCAACTACCCTTGCTTTTAACTCTCCAGTCACATCTTTCCACATTCTTCAGCATACTTCCCCCATTCTGCAGTTCTTCCTCTTCCTCTCTACCAGACCATGGATGTCACTTTTTTTTTTTTTTTTTAGGCTCTAGCATGAATTATCTACTACACTTTGGTCAGTATTTTTGACGGAGGCCATTTTGATTATCCCCTGCTCCTTTAGTCATTGGATATAATTTGCACACTAGTTTATAGGTTGCTTAGTAATTGCCCTTTACTTGTTGCATATTTGTAAGTTTTACCCCCAAATACTATATAAATGTTATGTAAATTTACCCCACGGGAGCAGGAGCTCTGTCTTACTGTTTTGGAGTCCCTTCCCACCCATCCTCTTAAGAAAACATAGTGAATGCTTCTTGAATTGTTAGCAAGAGTCACACAGAGATCATAATATTCAGCAAGCCCCTCACAGAAGAAGCTGGAATTGAGTTTTGGTTTAATGATGTGATTGCTTGCCTGGGAGCTTGCTCCCCAGATTGCGATCTCTCCACTCTTCTGATGAGAAGGTATAGACAACTGGTTCTTGACGTCTGCATTCCTATCCATTAAGGGGTGCACATGGCTGCAGATAACTGCTGCAATGCCCAGAGTTTGCTGTTTGAAAGATGATCACCATACACATTGATTGATTGATTTTTGCATATGTTCCTCCAGTCTTTGGTCATATGTATAAATACTTTAAGTGTTGTCATGGTATTTGTACAACTTTCTAATTTATTTTTTCACTTAAGTTGTCATGCACATTTTTCTATGTTAATATACAATCTTCATAATTATAATTTATAAGGATGCATAATTACCTTCAGTGTATATACCATAATTTAATTAGATAACCATTTTTGCTACTGTTGGGACACTCAAGCTGCTCCTATTTTTTGCATTTATAAAGATGTACAGTTAAGACTAACAGTGATAATGGTAGTCTTTCCTTGGGAATTTCCTCAGCTAGACTTCAAGCTTCTTAATAAACAGCTGTCATCCAAAATTGCTGTGTGCTCAGGAATCCCACCTTTAGAACAGTGCTTCTCTGTCTGTGATGAAATATCAGTTTTGTTCTTCTAAATTCCAATTTGTCATGGATCAATTCTTTTTTAAAAACACAAAAACTGAAAAATATAATGGAAAAATAAACTAGAGACATACAAAATATAAGCCCACAGTTTTTATTGTTAGATTCAGTAGACATAGTCACTCTGCCAAATTGCCGTAAAAGTTTTTAAAGAGTTACTCTCCATTTTTGTACTTACCTGGTTGAGGACTGTACACCGGAGGCTGTGGCCTAGCACCTGCCAGCGTATCATACTTGAAGTTCACTGCTCCAGGATACATATCACCCTGGTCTTCATCTGCTGAGGACTGTCAGCCACTTTGTTTCCCTACTTAGTTTCCTCCATTTTTAGCAATCTGTTGCCTCATCTACCTTTTGTTGCCGCCTGTACCTTTACTTCCCTTCTTATTTCTGTTTTTAAATGTGCTATCTCGTTCTTCTCTCTGGATTCCTTTTCTACTGATCCTTCTATGACAGCTTCTAATTTTTCCTCTGTCTTCATCTCTCACCAAGGTGTAGAGTCATACCCCTCCACCACCGCACCTGACAAGGCCCATGTCTTAGACCTCAGTATTGTTCTTACCTGAGAACTCCTGGATTTGGTAATCACAGAACCTTCCATTAGTCTGAAGAGCCTCTCTCTCTGTAGCCATGCTTTCTGCCATTTTAAGATAATTCATTGTCTCCTTCAGTAGTTCTTGCTGCCCTAGGCCTCTGCCTTGGTTCATCAACTCTTCTTTTATTCTTGTTAAAGACTTCTCTAAACATGTGTGCATCTAACTCTTAATTTAGCTTTCTGCTTTTAACCTTCTATAACTCTCTAGACCCAAGTCTTCCACTTTCACAAAGTAATCTCAAACTTAACATTCTTTTGTAACTTGTATCTGCATGTGATAAAAACTAAATACGTAACCACCTTAAATTGAGTATGGTATTTTGTTTTGTTACCTCAGATTCTCTCTAACAAAAGTAAATTTGTAATTTCATCCAAATGTTGCACGTCCCAAATTTCTCATCAATGAATTTGACACTATCTTGTCTACTATTTAAGTTCAAAATATCAAGGATAATCTGAAGGGTAATTCTTTTCAGCCTTCCTGAAGTAATGGCACAAGGGCAGGCCGATAGAACAAAACTTAGTGTATCTCATTCAATTTTTGCCACTTTGAGGGGTCTAGGATCAGCATCTGTTATCATCAGTCTACACCTGGGGAAACTGAGACTTAAGAGTGACTTGCCTTGGGTGAGGCAGTAAATAGTGACAGAGCTGATCTAGAATCTAGATATCCTGACTTGTAGCTGGTACCTATCAGTCACCATCTAGGAAAGGGATCTTGGAATAATTGTAGTCCTCGGGGGAACCTCACTCAGGTTCCTCCACAGTTCATTAGAAGCAGGACAGAAAATATAATGCTGCCCATGAGGAAAACTTGTGAGCTGTGTCATTACATTCCCCACATCTCAGAAAACAACTGAGCTTGGAAAGGTCCAAGAGAAGACAAAATTTTTAAGGGGTTGGGGTCACTTTTAGATGTAAATAGCCTAAAAAAGCCAAGAACTCTTTAGTCAGGAAAGACAGCCTAAGCATATATTTAATTAAGTCTGCAAAGCATTGAAGAGTAGAGATAATAAAAACAGATTTATGCACCTCATCTAAATTTGGATGAGCGCCTTGAATATTGGTGGTAAAGAACATAACATAGAACGAGAGAAAATAAGAATTTGTATAAGGGGTGTAAACATGGCATCCATTATTCAAGTTGTACAGCTTTAAAACAGATGCTTTTAAAGGTTTTTAATAAATTCATGGATGTTGAAACTGTAAATTTATTAAACAACCTGGATGCTTCCACAACTATCATAACTGTCGTAGTCTTCCATGTAACTGTCTCTTGGTGCTACCATTGAAGCAGAGGACTGATGAGATCCAGAGTGCCTTCTCAGCTCCTGGTTCCATGAACTTAAGTAGAGCAAACACACACATACGTGCTTTCCCCTCCCCCCCATACATAGTTGAATCCACTTGTTCCTTTTGTCTGATACAACCAGATCTTTTAACCAAGGTAATTTGTGGGTTGACCTCTTTCTGCTGATCTCTCAGCTTCCACTCACAGCAGTCTTTATGCATGTGGTTCCCTGGTAATGTTTCATGTTGTTTGTGTCAGCTACACACACTGCTACCCACAGAGTCCGTCAGTGAGGTTTTCATTCAATGTTCAAATGCCACGTTCTCTTTGCTATCTTGAGAATGTTCTACTAGCTACACACTTCATGCCTGTTGACTCTCCTTTACTATAGCTCCCTTTTACTTTTCTTAGTCCCACCTTCCTCTTTCCTCTCTTTCCCACTTCTAAGCCTTGTTCAAGGTTCCCTGAATCCTAACATCACCTTCATTTTTGTTTACCATGCCTTTCCCTTTTATCTCTTTAAATCAGGATTGTCAAACTTGGCTGAATATTACAAACACTTGCGGACATTTAAAATATACCAATCTTTGGGCCCCATCCCCAGAGATTCTGTTACAAGTTGGTCTGAGGTGTCAGAAGTCCCACAGCGGTTCTAATGGGTGGCTAGGGTTGAGAGCCATTGCCTTAAATTGAAGCATGACTCCCCTCCTAAGACCTTGCTGCTCATAGTATGGCCTGTGTGCCAGCAGCAGCAGCAGCAGCAGCTGGAAGCTTGATAGAAGCGTAGATTCTCAACCCCGTCCTAGACCTACTGTACCAGAGTCTGCATTTTAACAAGGTCCCAAGTGATTTGTGTGCCTGCTTTGAAACCTTGACTGATTTCCCTTCATCTGTTTTCCAACTTGTTGCCACAACTTCAGCCTTTAAAAAAAAAACAAAAACAAACCTGTACTTGTGCTGGCTGTGGAACCTACTTTCCTGTCTCAGCTTTTAGATTTTAAAGTTGAGGGTTTAGAGTATATGTTCTTTGGTACATTTTAAATTTGTGCTGCCAAGATGTGTGTGTAAGGTCCTGTGTCCTCGGGGTGTCATCATGCGGCTCTGCTTCTGACTGCAGGACTGTGGCCTTCCCGTGCCCTTCACTGGCCTGCTTCCCCAGTGTGTGGCTTTGACTGTTTTTTCCTCTCTGACTCTCAGCAGAGAGCTATTGCACATCGGAGGCTTCAGCAAGAACATTCACTTCCTCTTGGTTCTGACTTCCCGTTAGAGCAAGACAGTTTGTCAAGACAGCCCTGCATGTGATCAAGTCTGGCGTGGGGAGGCTAGAGGAGGCTGCTTGGCAGCTGAACTCACCCCCGAGAGCGGGAAGCCTTTTTCCTGGAGGACAGGATATAGTGTGTTTAGGTCAAACTGTTTGTTTGTTTTTTTTCTTATGGGAGGTAAAAGATAGCGAAGCAAGTAGAAACTTTGACCCAAATTATTTATAAATCCCAAGCTCCTGTTCCCACTATCAGTAGTGCTCTGTATATTTGTAAGCACATCCTGACATAACTTGCTCACCTCCAAGCTTCAGTTTTAAGCTTTCTCAGTGTAAGGGCCTCCTTTTATTGCTTTGTTTTCCCTCTAGGGCTCACCTGGTGGCTCAACTGTGTCAGTGCAGAAGTGGGGGTAGATGTGGTAAGGCTGGTGACCCTGTTCTGAGGTCCTTGACCTCTGGCAGAATGGTCCTGTGATAGCTTTTCCCAGATGAACACAGTCCTGAGATGGTTCATATGTAAACATTAGTAATGTGAAGCAGCTGAGATCTTCTTACCTTAATTTACAGGGAGTGATTATGGTTGGGGAAGAAGCAGCCTGTCAGGCTATTTTAAAAATACATATTTATCAACCAGAATTTTGTTGGGCAGGGAGATTGCCATCATTCTCTATTCTGACCCCAACTCAGCAGGTGATTTTGTTGCTGAAATAATTTCCTGCTATTCTTCCCAAGCTCTCTGGAGAATTTTATGAGAGGGTATTTACAACTCTTTTCTGTTTGGCAGATTAGTAGAGGAATGCCTGTTATTCCTCCATGTCTGGGTCATCATTGCCTATTAAATTGGGGCATTGGGTCTCAGTGCTTATATATCAGTGAAGCTGTAAGACTACATTGAGCAAACAGTGGTTTTCTAAGACAGATTGAGGAGTACGATTTGGGGGAAATCTGGGTAGCTCGTGCATTGAAAGCATGAAGGCAGCTGAGAGCATGGGGAGTCCTGGGGAAGGGCAAGCGATCTCTTCTCAGCCTGCCTGCTTAAAGATAGCTCAGCCTTTTTCTTCTTATCTTGCAGACCAGCTCCTCTCCTCACTCCGGGGTGTCCAGGCAGGTGCGGATTAAAGCTTCCCAGTCTTCGGGAGATATAAATACCATGTACCAGCCCTCCGAGCCCAGAAGCAGGCATCTCTCTGTCAGTGAGTATTTTCTTCCTCTCATTGAATTTATCTCCCTATGTTTTTTTAAAAAACAATAATTATTAATTAAAAACCAATTATCAATCATTACTGACTGCTACTTTGTACAGAATAATCCTCTATGCCTTTATTTGGGGAGAAGGGGTAAAGAAATTATGGGGATGGTGGCCTGACCCTCAGGAAGCTTACACTGTAATGATGTGATGGTATAAACGTCCCCGAAAAAATGATCTCTTCAAATATCTGCTTGAAGGCCTCCACTGGCAGTGTACCCTCATTTTATACCATAGGAATCAGGTCCAAGCTTGAGTTTTGACTCAAGACCTCTTGCTTATGATTCCTGAGGTGTCCCTATGCTTCAAGGAAGATGCTGACCAGTGAAACTTTTGACGAGTCAAACCAAGTTGTCCGGGAAGAACAGGAGACTGTTGACATAGTATCCAACTGGCTAAGTGGGAAGAAAGCTATGTTGCTGCTGCCAGGCCTCCTCAGGAAAGGGATCTGATCAGATCCGTGCATTATACCAGCTAATCCCCTATGCTCTGGATCTCATTTCCCGAAGTCTAAGGAAAAAGCCCATTTCTTGAATTGTAGACTTTGTATCAAGGGGGAAACCTGGCTTTATCAAAACATCTGTGTATTAGAGCCTATTGCCCTATTGTTGCTGAGACTGAGATCCCTGCTGCCGCTAGGAAGCCAAGTTCTATCCAGCCAGGTAGAATTGCATCAGACTGAACTGCTCTCTGAAGACCTTGAGCTGAGCTTGGGGAGGTCTAAGCATTGGTCCTGTCACTGAGCTTGTCTGAATGATAAGCCTTCTGAGTGAGTGACAGGAAGAATGTGCTGCTGAGGCACTGAGTTTGCCTCACTGAGTCATTTCTGGAACCCAAGCAAGCATTGGTAGTGTTGCCAAGCTGAAAGTCTGATTATGAGTTTCATATTTTTCTAACATTGTGCATAATAGGTGGCTGTGTTTTCAATAAGCTGGTTGAGGAGAGAGAGCCAGCACCCCAGCAAGGAGACCCTGTCCAGAGCATCTCTGGCCCTGGAGAGTGAGGGGCTGGGAGCACAGCATCATTCATTTATGGAGTAAGCAGTGAGGACTGACGTGGGGCAGTGATTGGGCCTCTTGCTCCTAAGCAAGTGCCTGTGATTTGTGTGTGGAGGCAGGGGCTCATTGCGGGGCCATTATTATAGGGAGTCATATATAGAATTCCTTGTCTGAGAATGCTGAGGAGTGAGATTTCTATGAGGTAGCTCCTGTTTATCTAGAGAGTGGGCAACACAGCTTCCCAGCACAGATAGATCCTGGGTTCCTTCATTCAGCAAGCATTATGTTCCAGGCATTGGGCTGGGATAAATGCTGCAGTGAAGGCTCATGGAAGGCCGAGCGTGGTGTGGGAGCACAGGGGAGGCAGGCGATAGCCAACTCTGCCTAGGACTTTGGAGAACAGCTTTCACAGAAGAGACATCATCAGAGCTGACACATGAAGAAAGACCTATTGAGCCTAAAGTACAGACAGGTATTCCAGGCACAGGAAAGAACACTTGCCAGGCACGATCACTAAAGAAGGTGGTGTGGGATCCAAGAACCCACGTGGTTTGGAGTGGTGGATGTGACGAGAGAAGTGGGCACAGCCTGCCAGCCTTTGTACAGAGCCGAGAAATGGCAGAGATTATTTCCAACTGGAATAAACTAGGAAATGGGAAATTTATTCTGGGGAGGAGCTGTTTAAGCTGGAGCCGTAAATATTAAGGAAGAATTCCAGAGGCGAGGATGAGGGGAGAGGGCTTTTCAACTATTTGCCTGTGGAGAGCTCACTTGTCCTTCAGATTGGCCGATGAATTTGGAGGAGAAATAGAAAAGGTAAGAAAGGATGCCTGGGCCACTTTCTGAGGAGCCTTTAGGGCACTGGGGCTTGTTTGGTAGACAGTGGGAAGCCATGGAAAACATTGCGGCCTTATACCCACCTCCATTATAGCGCTTATAACATTATCTTGTTGTCTTATCTCTCTCCCTATCAAAATGCATATTCATTCATTCATTCATTCATTCATTCATGTATCCATTCAGGAAATAATTACCAAAATATCTAATGAGTGCTGGAAACCTGGGAAGCAAAAAAGGCATGGCTCCTATCCCTATGGCTCTTATAGGCCTGGGGGAAGACAGACATTTACTTGTCATGATGTGATTAATGTATAATAATTATAGGCTGTGACTAAAAGGCAGTAGTGCTGTAAGCCTATTACAGAGGGATGGGACCTGATCTGGGGGCCAGGAAAGCCTTAGGCTATGACCCGGAGCATGAAGGAGAGTTATGCAGAGGAGATACAGGGAAGAGAGTTCCAGGCAAGAACAGCCTGATGGCAGGGAGAGTATAGTGTGTTTATGAAACAGAAAGAAGCCCTGAGGGCTGGAGAGCTGAGAACAAAGGGAGGGAGAACCAGCTGAGAGCTGAGACCAGGGAGCAGGGCAGGGACATTTAGAAGGTAAAACTGACAGAACACGGCATTGTGATAGTTCTCAAAGTGTGATCTGGGGACTCTGGGTCAATCCCTGAGGTCCTCTCAGGAGGTCTGTGAAGTCAAAACTGATTTCATGATAATACTAAGATATGACCTGCCTTTTCACTCATCCTCTCAGTTTTCCATGCGGTTACAGTGCCTGAGGTGATTGCACTGCTCTGATGGCTAATAGAGTGTGTGCCTGTGTATTACTATGTTTTTAAAACTTCTGAGCTTTAATTTCTAATACCGTAAATATCAACTGATATAACCCACATAAATAAAAGCTCTCTAGGGTCCTCAATTTTTAGAGTGTAAAAGGGTTCTAAGACCAGAAGGTTTAAGAACCATTATGGTATTGGGTTGAATTTGCAGGTGTTGAGGAAGCAGGAGATAAGTTACTGCTTTATGGATCTGGATAAATGGCACTGCCTTTCGCCCAGACAGGAACGCTAGAAGAGAGCCTGGTTTCAGGTGCTGAGAAGGGGCAGACCTGATGTTTTAGGTTGAATTGGAGGTGCCTCTGAGACAGCTAAGAGGAAATATCACATGGGCAGTTAGATACACAGGTTTCTAGCTCATAGGGGAGAACATCAGGGGTAGGGGGAAAATTGGAAATTGTCAAGGGGAAGCCCAGGACCCAGATGAGAGTGCCTAAGCAGACTATAGAGTGAGAAGAGAAGAGGGCCTAGGACGGAGCCTTAGGAACCCAGACCCTTATTGGCCAGTTAGAGAAGGATGAGCCTGTAAAGGACACAGGAAAGGAGTGACCAGAGCAGTAGGAGAGGAGGAGGAGGGAGGCTTTACATGGTCCAGCCAGGTGGTAAAGGACAGATCAAGGGTAAGAGACATAAACTTGTCATTTTCATGCACAACTGTCTGAGTGCTTGCTATGCTGGTACAGGGTAAGGCCTTCTGGAAGCAGAAGGAAGCAAGAAGAGAGGCATGAGGGTTGAAGCATGAGGGAGCAGCAGAAGTCCTCGCAGTAGAAGTGAGGTCTAAGGAGAAGCTTAGCGATTCAGCCCCCCACCACAGGAGGGGGTGGTGGTTCTTTTCCCTCCTTCCCCACCAACATGAACATACCTGAGTTTTTAATGAGACTGACATACAGGTCATTCAGCTCCCACTGCAACATTTTCAGTGGTGAGGAAGTGCAAGGTAGCTCAATCCAGTTTTAGACAGTTCTGTTTATTTAAAGCTCTTCCTTATTTTGTATTGAAAATCTGCCTTCTCTCACTTTACCCATTGACTCTCAAGTATACTCTCTTGAGGATCATAGATAGCACAGATAGCACCTTTCAGTTTCTCAAATATTTAAAACCAGCTATGTGTCATGTTCACCTTTTGTTTTTACATCCTTATATACATACATTGAATTCCAATTTTTTCAAGCCAGTTAGTCTGTTAAACTAGTTCATGCTAAAACACAAAAAGCAATCCCCCCCCCCCGCAAAAAAACCCCAAAACAAAAAGCTACTAGGTAATGACTTAACCCAAAAGAGAGACCCCTGTGGAAAGGTCTCCAGAGGAGGCAGATGGAGTTTCCCTATTGGAAGATGCTCTTCTCATATCTTTGCTTATGGAACTTCTACCTACCTTTGAAGATGAGCTCAAGCACCTTTACTTCCATTATACATTGGGTGGTGCCCTTCAACCGTGTAGCTAGCCAAGCCTCAACTAGAGGACTTGTCCCTGTCAGATGCTGACTCCCGTTTGGTCTTGTGCGTCTCAAGTGCCTTGGCCTCTACATCTTGCTCCTTGTCTTGCCACTGGCCTCCACAGTGAGGCAAGCCAGATTGCAACCTCTAAGGAATGGGTAGCGATGAGTCGAGGCAGTCGGTTCTTTCAAGGAGTTTGTCCATGAAAGAAAAGAAGAGGTGGGATAGTGACTTAAGGGAGTGGCAGAAGAAATAAGCTCAGGATATTTTTAGGCTAGAGATCTGAGCAGGTTTAGAAGGGAGGCACAAAGACAGCTGAAAAGATTCAAGGAGGTGAAGAGGGAACCATGGGGGAACTGACTCCTGCTGGGGACGTACTGGGGAGGGCTTATAATGCCTTAGCAAGGAGGAGAGAGGGGTGCCGGCACCTCTTGCTCTGAGAGGAGAGTAGGACAAATTCAGGCAGAGGAATAAAATGAATGTTGAAAGAATGTGATGACTTACAGTGACACCAGACAAGAACCAGTTAGAGAGCTGTGCACAGTGCAAACCTCCAGTCCTGGAACAGAGTTGAAGAGTGGAAACCAGGACTGCAGAGGCAGTGACCATGCACATGGAAACAAAATGGTCCGCTGCCCTCAATTCTACAGTTTTCTTCTCCTTCTTGTTACAGATTCTTCTGTGATACTAGATGAGACCAGAAACTGTTTAGTGGTGGCAGCACCTTCAAAATAAAATGAGAATTTTGAAAGTTGAAACAGATGGGCTGTTCTCAGGGTCTTATGGGATGAAAATGTTGAGAAGCTGTGTTTTACACGGTCTGTTTTGGTGTGAGCGTATTGGGAAATAATGGTTAAGATTTTCCGTTGAAGAAGAAAAAATGATTTGATTCCTCCCCCCATCCCATCTGCCCCCCAGGAGAGAATAGGGCTTGGAGAGAATAGTGATGGCCAAAAAAAGCTATCTCTTTGTACTTGCAGTGACCTGCACATTAACACTGACCCACAGCCCTAGAACTCCCTGCGGAGGCAACTTCCTGACTGCATCAGCTTCCTGACAGGAATCTCTTATGAGAAGGGCTAGAATCTGAGAGTCTGTCTTTCAGCTTTGAGTCAGAGTACAGAGCAAAAGAATTGTCCATGTCCTAGGGTGAGAGTTTTGCTCCTACTCTGCTGCTCAGGGTTAAGGAGGCTAGCAGGGAGTAGCATGCCCTGGGATGAAAACAGACCGCCGGCAACTTAAACCCCTGGCCCTTTCCTTATGCATAGAATGTCTTCATGGGAAGTGTGGGCCACTCTGAACACAGGACCACAACTCTGTTCCTTTGTTTCAGCTGGTGCTGAGATGGGACCCATTGGTACAAATGGCCTGAAGAGACTAGAGCCAGGGAAGGGTGTCCCAGAGAACCCGTCACCCTTGCTGTGCTGCCTCCAGAGACCTAGAATGAGCTGTCTTGCATAGCACTGTGGTTTGTGCTGTCTGGCTCACTGCTGTCCCTGCTGGTAAATATGTGAGCATCAGTGAGTCTTAGAGTTCAGTATCCTGTCCTGTTCAGGTCCCCGTCTGACTTGTTCTCAACTGCTGCTGTGCATCTCATTGGCCCCTAATTTCTGAAATGAAGATAAAAACAAAACTGAAAATGCTCTGGAGCAGTTCTGCCAACTCCTGGTTTTTCCATTCGCTTCCTCTGATAGCCATTGGTTTGGGGAGACTTCCCTTTCCTGCCCCAAGCTGTGGGCCTGTGCACAATAGCCCCTGGCCCATTGCCCATCAGATAACAAGGCTGGCTCTCTGCAGGCAGCAATGTGTATTGGAAAAAGTGAAAGTCTCTGGCTGGAAATAAAAGCTCAGAAAACCTTTGCTATTTTCCCCCAGCCCCTCCTGAGTCTGTAGTGCTCGCTTCATGTGAGCTAGTCCCATCCCACGTGCAAAACCAGGGAAGAGTTTACTGGCAGCTAATGAAGGAGAGAACAGGTGGCAGGGCCGTGAATATTTTATCCAAGGGAGGTCTCACCCTAGATGCTCCGTGTAAGGGACTGAGAGCAGTTCATCTCATCTGGGATAGTTTGGACTAGTGTCTGAGATCTCATCAGTAAGTAAGAGTTTTCCTTTCTCTCTAATCAGTCCCTCACGATAGACATATTTTGTTTGTTCTAGGTCAAATGTATAATAATACCTTTGCACTCCAGATTTTATTGGTCAAGGTTCAGTTACACAGAACAGAATCTACTCTTACCTAGTTTCAGCAAGAAGAGATTTAGTGCACTTCTGGCTTTTAGGATCATTGGGAGAGTGAGAAACAGACATACCACAGAGCTCTTCTGTAATCAGGAAGCCACCAGATAGAGAAGCACAGTGCCTCTCTGCTCGGGTCCACACCACTTAACAGGGATTCCTGCACCTGTGTCTTGACATCAGGAAAACTGGAGACCACGTGTCTTTTAATGCTGTAGCAGAAAAACCAAGGCTTCTGTGTATCATGCCCAGAGACAACAGGAACAGCAGGAAGCCATCTAAGCCTCACACAAGTGCACCTGACTGGCTGAACCTAAAGGGGATCTTAGAAGTAATAGCTTTTAGGTGATTAACTTCTGAAGCGCAAAAAGCATAATAGAAGGATGGAGTCTAACTCACTATCTCTGCCACAGAGTATGAAGGAAAGGAATTCTCCTGAGTTCCTACCATGTAGATGTATACCTGTGCACTTTTTTTTTTTTTTAAAGATTTTTATTGGGAAATTGGGGGGATGGGAACAGTGCTGGGGAATTGGGGAAAGGGGAACAGACAAGTTGCTGTCGTTTTTTTGTTCTTCAGTCTAGTTGTGGAGGACGTTGCTTCACTGGCCCAAGTTGGCACCATCATTGCGCTCTTCTCTGGCGAGGCAGATCAGTCGCCGGCTTCTGGACGGCCGCTCACTGCGGCTGCTGGCCGCTCACGCTGGCTGCTGGCCACACACGGTAGCCCATGGCAATCCACTGCCACAGGGACTGCAGCCCACGCCGTCGCCGGCGACTCACGGCAGCCCAGCTCCAGGTTGAGCTGTTGTTCAGCATCTTAGCTGTGGAGGGCAGTGTCACTGGCCCTCATATGTGGGATCCGAACCGGGGCCCTCTGGCATCCCAAGCGAGTTCTTAACCATCGCGCCACTCGGCCGGCCCCTATACCTGTGCACTTTTATAGTTTCCAAAAAACATTAAGAGTAGATAGTTCTCCCCATTTTTGCAAGTGAGGAAATTTAGGCAAGTGTTTAACTCATTCAACTGAGTGGCAAAGCCTGATTTGAACCCCTGTACATCTAATCTCCAATCTTAGGCTTTTCTCACTATACCTTACTCACCTCTTGAGGTTGCTTCTGTTGCTGATAAATGTTACCAACATATGGATTGACTGTCCATAGAATGTGTGGGCTACTAAAATGTTATCCAAAGCCAGAAGTTGGCAAGCAGGCGCTAGGCTAATGTTTGTAAGCCAAATGTTAAATAGTGCTCCATGTTTTGGGGGTGTGGTAGGGCTTAAGAAAACCATCCTTTTTTCATGGTTGTACTAGAATTCTATGCTATAGTGCCAAGGGAAATGGCCAGCTACACAGGTCTTTGACATCTGGGCCTCTGAAAAGTTGAGTGGATTTCTTATTTCTGATCCAGATTTCCTCTTACCTCCATCTCGTCATTGCCTCCAAGCCCTCTGTTGGCCAGGTGGCATCTTGCGTCCTTGGCCTCTGACTTACAATGGACATGGACAGAAAGCTCTGAATCTGAGCTACATGAAACGTGGTACTATGTTTCTCTTGTACTATCAAGAATTCTCCACATCAGCCTCCCTCCTGCTCTGGCAGAAAGGCTGTCACATTCCCCCATGGGTGGGGGTCCTCATCCTCTGTTTGGATCGTTCGTGAGGAGCGTATGACTTGGTCAGTTCAGGGAGAAGTTTCGCCTTCTGCCACTGTGTTGAACAGCATTGCCTGCCTTTTGGAAAACATTTTGTACTCAAAATTGCCTTGGCTGAACTGTACTGAAAACAAAGCCTGTTTTCTAGATACAGCCTCACCATTAAGTCACTCTGGCTTTGGGCCTCGGCTTCCCCTTCTGCTCAACGTGGATGGTAATGCACCTCTACTGCAGGGGTGTTGTGAAGATTAAATGAGGTAACAGTGTAAAAAAGAAAATAATAATTGCTTTGGCTGATTTCATTGCTCTGTTTTAGTTCATGGTACAATATCCTAAATTTACACTCAGAGCGATGTCAGTTTCTGTTTAGAGACTCAAGGTGTCAGTTAAGGCTTAGACAACTTAGAAAAACAGATTTTTTTCCTCCATGGTCTGTTAGAGATCATTTGGAAGGCATGGCTCAGGTACCTCTTTATCTCAGAATTGGTAGTCTCTACTCTGTGAGTGAGGTGTCGAGACTGGAAACCCAGCAAAATTCTATGCCTGTTTTTAGAGCAGTTTTGTTTCTGGCCTCTGCTCTGGAGTCAGGTGGGAAACCAGGTTACTGAGAGCGCCAGGTTGGCCTCCCCACCCAAGACACCTAATTGTCAGTGATCCTTACAGAGAGGCTGGGGGTTGATGCCCCCCAACAAGAGATTGGAAGAGTTCTTGGTGGTCAGTTCATTAAAATGTCTTGTACAACCGGATGAGCCATGTATTCTGAATGACTGACTTCATGTGGAAGAACAAGGAGTCAGTTTTTTCAAGGACATTGAAAATAATAACTTAAACTCCTTACAGGCTATCTTTCAAAGAGCAACCCTCCCCACCTATTCTTTGACTTTTAAGTATTTTTCCTCCTTTTCAGGGGTTCTTGGATTAGGGGGAGGAGCCACCTGGCTCAAGAAGTTTCCTTGAGCCTCAGCACTCCTCTTCCAGGATGTTTCAAGAGCCGCAGCCAGTGCCCCGCCAGCCTCTGCAACAGACACTTGGTCTGAGCTGGGCTAAAGTCTGCTCCTCTCAGGCTGCATGTCCTGGGCTGTGTGGTCAAAACTCTTTGTTTCTGTGCTCTAGGCTCCCAGAATCCCGGCAGAAGCTCACCTCCTCCTGGCTACGTGCCTGAACGGCAGCAGCACATTGCCCGGCAGGGGTCCTACACCAGCATCAACAGTGAGGGGGAGTTCATCCCAGAGACCAATGAGCAGTGTGTGAGTACCTGCCAGGGAGATGCCTTGGGGTATGTCAGACCGAGGTTATATTGGGGGGTTCTCATTGGGCATGGTGCAGAGCTAAGGAATTTGAGCCCCTTGTAAGCTGGGCTTGCCCAAATATGGATTATTCCTTTCTAGGGGCCAAATACCAATTCCTGCCAAATACAGGACCTAAACTACCTAGGCTCCTTGGTGTTGGATGCGCATTTAACAATTTTCCTCGTCTGTGGTTCTCTCACTGGTCTCCCTGCAGAACAGCAGTCTGCTGTTGGTATACTTCCTTAGAACAGCCTGTCATTTCCACAGAGTTTTAACATATGACCAATCCTAAACTGATCGATTTTGGTTTTCATTTACTGTATTTTAATTTTGCTCTTATTGATGAAACATAAGAAGTATACCATGTCCAGATTACACTGTAGGATTGGTTACTTTGGATGAACTTTTATGATAGTAAGCAGCTGTTAGTTTATATTATTGTGTAACAAACTTAGCAGCTTACAACAGTATACATTTATTATTTTATCATTTCCTTGGGTCAGGAATCCAGGTGTGACTTAGCCAGGTCATGCGCTCAGGTCACACAAGGCTGTAATCAAGTGTTGGCCAGGCTGTATTTCTTTCTAGGGCTTGGGATTCCCTTCCAAGCTCACATGGTTGTTGGCAGAACTTGGTTCCTTGTTGTTGTAGCACTGTGGTCCCTGTTTTCTTACTGGCTGTCAGCCAGGGGCCACTCTGAGCTCCTAGAAGCCACCTGCAGTTCCTTGCCATGTGGCCCTCTCAGCTCCTTCAAGGCCAGCCAGAGAGTCTTGCTCCGCCGGAGAGTCTTGCTCCGGTCTGCAAAGATGGATAGTGTCTTACGAAATGTAACATAATCACGGGAATGAGTGTCCCATCCTCTTTTCCATAGTCTGTTGACTAGAAACAAGTTCCAAGTTCTACCTAGACTCAAGGAGGGGATTATTTATACAAGGCTGTGACTCAGGGAAGAGGGATCACTTTATGGTGTGTCTACCACAATGGCTAACCCATTTTAATGGCTAGCTTTTCAACCAGTGGCTCACTTGATGAAAATGGCATTTTGGCTTAGTGAACTCCGCAAGAGTGAGATCTCTGGCCTCATTCTGAAGTCTTTTCAGTGAGCTTTCTTTGATTGCAAAATAAAGATCCACTCTTATCAATTTGGGGGATTTGGTCTGGGAGGGAAAATATTTTAAAGGTAAAGCACCCAACAGAAGGGCCAGCACCATCACATTGGGGGGAGGGGGGGAGTTATAAAAAACTGCTGTTTGTAACTTTTCTTTCTCATAAAACTGATTCTTAAAACTTTTCTTTCCCTTCAGTAGCTGATCTCTATACAACATTATTCAAACTGTATAGGCTGTGAGAAGCCTTTTGCATTGCCCCTTTCCTCGTCTGTATTCCTGACTTTTAGATAAATTCATGTTTAGAACAGTGACCTGGAGTGCTTTTAGCTGCAGGTTCCCTTCTTGGGTGTTTTACTGACCATCGTTTCTGTTTTTGCTAACCAGAGCTCTTTTGAACATCACCTGTACTAGGGGTGACTTGAGTATAAAATCTCAGAAATTGCAAGTTGAGTTTGATTGCCTTTGGTCTCTTGTCTCTTCCCGTGGTCCTCTACCCTGGTCCTTTAACTGCTTTGCTTTACCCGGCTGGCCCAGGAAGGCATGGGAGTATTATACTCCTAGTGAGGACAGACTTAGAAAGAGGCCAAAGAAGGTGGCAGCTGGGGAATGCCTGGGTCCTTCTCCAGTGCCCCGCCTCTTAAGCTAGAGAGAATTAATTGCTCCTGGTAACTGAGCCATTCAAGATAAAGCCACTTAACAGAGTCCAAAACAGCACAGTATATAGTGAAAGAATATTTAATTGAGACTTTCTTGAAAAGTGAAACTAAGATAAGTTTATTTTGTTTTTGCTTTAATCAGATTTAGGTAATAATTGCATCTATTTGCTAAGTTTTAGAATGAACAAAAGCATGATTCATGTTAATTTTTTTGGCTTAATTTTTCTAACAAAAATTTTGCTAGCACACGTAACTTTTTTTACTTCTGCTTTGACATCTGCAGCACTGTCATAATGAGGGTCCTTTTTTACAGAAGCTTTCACTGGATTCAGTGGGTTTTCCAAAGGTCTCCCTTGCACCTTTGGTATTCTCCTTCATTGCACCTGTTATGTTATACTTGCCCATTCTCTCTCTTCTATTAACTGCTATAACTGTGCCAAATATGTACTTGATGGGTTGGGAGCAATATTTGCCATATTGGTTTTATCGACTTTGGGAAATCCTATATCCTGGCAAGATTTGCCATTTTACTTTGCAATTATACTGTTTCCCTATGTCTTATTTAACTTTTTTTTTTTTTTTTAAGATTTTT